CCCCAAAACCCCAAAACCCCAAAACCCCTTGCCCGCTTTAAGCAATTGAATTTGAAAAATTATCCAAATGGGTTTTTGACTCCGAAAACTGGCATCTGTCAGAAATTATTTCCTTTCTCATTTGTATCAAATCAGTCACTCCTTTCTCTCTGTATAGTGGAGAGACTTTGATAGCTCTCTGTGATATTAGACGAATGCAGACTTTTGTCTCACAGATGAACTCCAGACTCACTACTTTCATTATGCTCCTTCACATCAATATTCTCTTTCTCTGAAGTATTAGCTGTCTTGGGTTTGTTGAAGTAAGAACCTGTAGGGGTTCTTGGGGTATCTCCTTCTAAAGTAAATTCAAGTGACCCCATATCTACATTTGAGCTGATTCTAACCTCAATCTCTTTTATATGAGGCTTTCCTTCATTTAACTGAGATTTCTTAACAGAATCCTCATCTGTTTCCTTTATGGTGTTATTTAAATTTGAAAGATCTCAGAATGGAGCTTTATCCTCACATGGGTTGTCCTTGTTGGATGAACGAGTGGCGGAATACTTGTTCTTCGTGTATGAGATGAAAGAGTTCACTCTATCTGCTCTTCCTCTATCATAATTAGATCACATACTTCTTGTGTTGTATTTTAATTTTCTTGGATTATCTTCATGGCTCATACTACTTTTATTTCAGCTTTTTGATCACTGTAGTCAGACTTTTGTCTAGGATACCTTCTAGATTCACTTGAGGCTCTTTCTTCTTACACTTGGTTAATCTGAAATTCTCTCTAGTGAATTTCTGTAATTTCTCCTTATTCGTGTCTCTTCTTTGTGCTCTTTCAGTTTCAGATTTCTTCTTAATAGAGGAGATTGATAAACTTTTCCTGAATGGAATTGGATGTATGTCCCTACTCTCATCAGTCTTCCCCATGCTCATGGTAGTGCCATAATCGAACAAAGAGTTTGGAGTATGAGGAATAATTACAGGGGTCTGAAACTTACTTGAAGAATCTTCTGATTTCTTCTCATTTCCTCTGAGGTCTAAGCTGATCATATTAATACAGTCCATCAGCTTAGACATTGTCTTCTTGCTCTTACAGCTATCAGACTGCAATTCTTGATCAAATTCATACTTGTTCTTACCAGGAGCTTCTGTTTGGATTTTTAAGTTAATAAGTGGTTGCTGGTTGTTCCTCTTTGGTCTCTTTGAGACCTTTCTTTTTGTCTTGCTCTTCCTTCTACAATTTCTGAGCTTCATATCTAAAACTGTTATATAAACTGTACCAATCTCCATGCGCTGCAGGAAGGAGCCTTCCTTCCTGCAGCTCTTGTCTTGGTTGAGGTTAGCAGATATTTTAGTATGCTTCAATAACTTGTTGGAGGGGCTACGTGAAAAATTTATGGTAGAGCCACTGTTTAGAACCTTTACAGTTCTATTTTCTCTAGAGCCAGGTCTCTTCTTGGTTTTTATCAACTTTCCCTTCTTGATTCTCCCCTTCTTGGTAAATGTCTTGTTAGTCGAGAGATTAGTAGTGCTACTTAAGATCTTTGATTTCTTATTTTTAGAGCATTTGGGGTAGTCGTAATTATTTTTGTTTTGAAGCCTGACTAGGTGTCTGGATAGGCTTGAGTTTTAGCTCAGGTGCTGATTTTGGGATGATTTTGAGGTTAAGGATCTGCCTTTTGATTGAAGCTTGTGTAAAAGTCTCGTATTTCTTCTCCCTTTGTATATTAGTGGTTTCTCTATTTCTTGTTTTGGCGACTGTTTCCTTATTTGAACAATTCTGTAAATCCGAGCTTGAACATTGATTATTAGAATACCTTTCATTTTGAGTTTTAAGCTTGCTTGAGAAGGTAGTAGGTGTCATAATTTTGCAATCAGTCTGGGTGACTTGCTCTGATTCTTCTGTTATTGTATGAATCTCATAGTCCCCTGATATACCTAATTTCACTTCATGTTCAGAAGATTGTACACCGTATGGACTGTCATCTCCGGAAATATCTTCCTCAATCGGAATAATCTCAGCTTTCTTCAAATATTTTGAAATTAAAATATCATCTTCAAGATCATTAATAGCTTGATTGAATTCTTGTTCTTTACTCTCGTTACTGCATTTATGATTTTCTTCGGTTGATGAAGAAACACATACAAATGGGATACCTTCAGCAGAGTGCTTGGCACCTCATCCTTGACACTCCCTTAGTTCTCAGCTATCCGAACTTTCAATATTGTCAGATCCGTCATACCTCAGGATGCTGGAGGGCTCTCTGCTGAATACCGGTGACTGGTTAATCATATTTATTCGTTAAAATATAAATTTAGCAACATTTTTAACAAAACGGGGTTTTGGGGTTTTGGGGTTTTGGGGTTTTGGGG